ATCAAAACTCAATTTATGGTTACAAAGAGACCTAACAATATTTGGAAGAACATACTTAACTAAAATGGAATCTCTAGCCTGATGTATTTACCCGGCCTATTCTATGGCTATATCAGATAAAATTATCAAATCAATCAATCAAATGAACTTTAATTTCATTTGGAAAAATAAAGCTCACTATATCACAGTCTGAAATTACTAAAGAGTATGAGGAAGGAGGCTTACAAGCAATCGACTTTGAATGTATAAACGTAGTCCTTAAAATAAAATGGCTAAAATCCTTTCTGCTATAGTAATAGTATTTGGTTTTGTCTGTCCAAAGGACTATTTGAAAAAAATGGGAGGTATTGAATTTGYCCTAAAGTGTGATTTTAATATAGAAAAACTACCGGTCAAGCTTGCCAACACTATACAGTATATCATTGAACAGGAATTTATTAACAAAGAAACACCTAACAAAATCCTACGTTATCATCTGAATAACAAGCTGTACCCAGTATGCTCAAATAGAAACTCTATCATTCAGAAATTCACTGAAACTGAGGTTAAAAAATGGAGAACCCATTATATTAAATTTCCTGTAAGTCCAAAAGTTAAAGAAGTGCATTTTAAAATCYTGAATGAAGTTTATCCATCCAATGAAATGCTGAGAATGAGATTTAATATTGACCATAAAAACTGAATTTTTTGTGAATCCAACATCGAAACGACAGATCRTCTTTTTTATCGATGTATTTACATAAAAACTGGAGGATTTTCTGGACTGGTTTTCTACAAAGATCCRGCTACAGGACACRCTGACTCTGGACAACATAATATTTGGATTGAACTTGAAGGATGCACAATCAGACTATGTTTTAAACAATTTACTACTGATGTCAAAATATTTCATTCATTGCTGTAAATGGAAAAAGGTAAAGCCTATCTTTAATGTATTTAAAAAACATCTTGTTGAAAATTATTTAATTGCTTTATAACGAATGAAATGTAAGAATGCAAAGTCTCTATGGAATGGATTTGAAAATATTTGAAGACTTCTGATTGTAGTTGTACAACTGTGTGAATGTGTATGAATTTTTTTATTTAGTTTATTTCTGTTGTTTGCTCTGTTCTATCTTCTGCCTTGAAAATGTTATTTCTCCTGTTAATTGTTGTTATATCCCTAAACGTTTCTACACTTGAATTTATATTACAAAAAAAAACCTGACTTACAGTTTGACACCTGAYTTCCTGTTTGACCCCTCCTATACCTGACTTCCTGTTTGACCCCTCCTACACCTAACTTCCTGTTTGACACCTGACTTCCTGTTTGACCCCTCCTACACCTGACTTCCTGTTTGACACCTGACTTCCTGTTTGACCCCTCCTCCACCTGACTTCCTGTTTGACCCCCCCACACCTGACTTCCTGTTTGACACCTGACTTCCTGTTTGACCCCTCCTCCTCCATCTGACTTCCTGTTTGATCCCCTCCTCCTCCACCTGACTTCCTGTTTGCCCACCTCCTCCTCCACCTGACTTCCTGTTTGACACCTGACTTCCTGTT